CTAAAGAAATGAAGAGAAGATCTTATCTAAAAAAAGCTAGGTTTTTAAGAGAATCTCTTGATAGAAGAAGTCTTGGATTGCGTCTTACAACCCGCTGTTTTCGTCAGGGCAAAAAAACATATTTTACGAAAATATGATATATATACTATATGGTATCTATCCCATATCATATATATATATATATATATACTACTATATATTCTAAACTAGATCACACCTTTTCTTTTGGTTTAATATATTGCTGAATTTTTTTGTTAAGTATGGTTTTTCACTCTGACGATCCCTATCGAATGATAGGCAAAATCTCAGGAGTCTCAGGACAATAAGATGAAGAGTCATTTGCACAATCCAACAGCACTCACTCCACTACGGTCAGTCCTCTTCCAGTTTCCGGTAAGAACAAGCCATGAATTCTTTCTGATCAACCTTTATTTCTAAATTAAACGTCGAGTCAGACAATTTTTTGTTGACCCCGACCACTCAAATTCCAGAATATACCCTTGTTTCGCTATCCTATGATACCATACGACCGGCTGTGCATTTCGTCGACGCCCAGGTTATGGCCAGTTGAGACTACATTAGTATGAACAAATAAACGAAGAGTTGTAATCTTGCCGCTCAGATAAACTTTTCCTCTTTTTGGGAAGCAATATGTTGACAAGCTTAGTTCGGGAACCTGCGAATTTTCCGGAAGCCGGGCTCGCTTTATTTCTCAGTGGAGACAGCTCAGAAATTGCATGAAGGGTGGGAAATTTCTTTAGGCGTCAAACTCGTAATAATGCTTCGAATTCATTATTGTTACTAATAACTATTTATAAGATCGTATTTATTATATGTATTTATACACAATATATTGATAGTATATATTTTAATAACCTAATAATATATTATACTGTTATAATATTAAAACACAAAATGTGATTAAGCAGAGTTTCGAGACTAATCGTAAATAAGTTATATGAGATGTATTCACCCTATTTAGTTTAAGTAGATGAAGAACTGGTAGTAGAATTTTCCTACAATGAGTAGAGCTGACATTCTCATTGAATTTCACATAGTCCTGCCTGCAGTTTCGACCTCGCATAGATCTTATCCACACCCATAATCGGAGTCGAACCGTGATAGTGCAGAATGTGAGCTTGACACGTTAACCTCTCGGCCACATTAACACGAGTGCCCTTGGGTCACAGGGCAGGTGTGGATTTTAAGGAAGGCCATGGGAAATTCAATGGAAACGTCAGCTCTATTTATATGATTGTGAGCAAATTCTACTACTAGTCCTTCATCACCTTAAAGGAAATAGGGTGAATAAATCTCATATAACAAATAGTGAAGTCACCTATGCTTTGCTACCCAGATCAAGTAAGCCTTTAATTAGGAAGGATAAGTGAAATTTAATGACCTCATAAGGACAATTAATTTCATTGTCAAGCATTTAACTATCAGTTATAAGATTATCATAAACAATCTAGGGCGACTAACAATATTAATCAAAAAGAACTAATAACTTTGAGAGCTACTGATATAGGAAATAGGTAAAGTCGTTTGTTGCAATGGCTAATGTCTGCTTCCCTGATCGACAAACCACCCTACAGCGTAATTCGGAAGAGGCCTGGCTTGTCTAGAATATTTTATATGTGAATAGGGTTTCGAGACTACCACTAAATCAGTGTAATGAGATGTATTCACCCTATTTCGTGTAAGGTGATG